TCCGTCGCGGTTCGCCCCTCTCGCTACTGGAGTTGAGGTATCGCAGGACTCAACAGAGTGTACTCCGCCCTCTGTCGCAGTACCGTCTGCGCCTCCGCAGACCACCGTCTCCCCTCCTTCCCCGCCCCGACTACCGACGCGTCGAGCCATTCGCTCAGCCCGTTGCAGCGAGCAGCTTGCTACTCGCAAGGACGTTGTTTCCTCTCTGCTGGACTTGAGCATGCTCCAGGCTCGTTAGGAGCGACTCACCCTCCATGTCGCTGCACTGCGTCACCTTCTCGCCATCCTCTCTGACCCTGATCGCACCCTCCCGATCATCCCCGTACGACTCGGGACCTCCACGAGGGTGTACTCAGCGCTGTGGGATTCCGGTTCTCAGGGCGACTTCATTCACCCACGCGTGGTGAAGGAAGCCCGCTTACCCACGAAAGGGTCTCCGACTCCCATCTCCGTTACCCTAGGGGATGACAAGACCCAGCGCTTCTTCGATCAGACGGTCACCGACCTCCCCTTTTTCCTCACTCTTGAGCCGACTGAGCGTTCCCCGGCGTCTCGTCGCCACTGCTCCTCTGCACATTTCGATGCGATGGAGAAGGGGTACGACTTCATTCTCGGCACTCCGTGGTCTCGTCGGTTCCGCAGCACCGAGGCCGATTGGGCGACCAACACTCTCGTTCTCAAAACGACGTGTGGACAGACGTATCGCGTACCTTTCATAGGTACCACGACGACACCACGCCCCGATTCTCCTCCCCCGGAGCCTTCAGTGCCCACACCATCTTCCCCTATCACTGTCACCTCGCCTCGACACTTCGCTCACTTCATTCGACAGGACGACGTCACCTTCTTTATGGTGGACGTGACGGATCTCTTACACTATGATCCACCCTGTCCCGACGCCGAGCTCATCCCTCTGGAGCCAGATCCTCCCTCTATCTACATGGCTCCCATCTCTACTTCCGTCCCTCCGCCGTCCGTCGAGTCCACCCGCCGTCGCGCGCTGACGCTGACGCTGAGGAACTCGCACGATATACGGCTGACTTGGAGCCCGCAGTTCGTGACCTCATCCGAGAGTACCACGACGTTTTCCCATTGTTGTTCTCGTACGTCGGCATCCCACCGATAAGTGACGTCGAGCACTCCATTCAGCTCGTGCCGGACTATCGTGTTCACCACCAGGCACCCTACAGACTCTCGATCCCCGATGCCACCGAACTCAAACGTCAGCTTGAGGAGCTCCTGAGACTGGGTTTCATTAAACCCAGCAACTCCCCGTGGGGTGCACCCGTCCTCTTTGCTCGCAAAGCGGATGGGACTCTTCGTCTCTGCATCGACTACCGCGGCCTCAACCGCTACACGGTTAAGAACAGCTACCCCATGCCTCGTTCCGATGAGCTGTCTGATCGCCTAGCAGGCAACCGCTTCTTTACGAAGATTGATCTTCGTAGCGGTTACCATCAGATCCGCGTCGCTGCAGCCGACCAGCCGAAGACAGCGTTCCGATCGCGATTCGGCCACTACGAGTTCACAGTGATGCCGTTCGGCCTCACCAACGCACCCGCTACCTTCCAGAGGGCGATGAACGACATCTTCAGGGACATCCTGGAGCAGTACGTTCTCGTCTACCTCGACGATATCCTGGTCTATAGTCATACCCTTGAGGAGCACCTCAGACACTTCCTCGACGTCCTTGATCGCTTGCGCAGACATGGCTTCTACGCTAAGCTGAGCAAGTGCCGCTTTGCCCAGCACAAAGTGGATTTCTTAGGACACTACGTGTCTGACCAGGGTCTCCACATGGACGACGCGAAGATCACTGCTATTGCGGAGTGGCCCGCTCCCACATCCGCCAAGCAGCTTCGCAGCTTCCTAGGCCCGACCAGCTACTATAGTAACTTCATCCGGGGATACGCTAGGTATTCCTACGTCCTTAGCTCCACCCTCCTCCGGAAGAACCCACCCTGGGCTTGGACACCCTTTCACGAGGACGCCTTCCTCGCCCTCAAGAAGGCGGTGACATGCGCACCGGTTCTTCACCTACCCGATTTTGACCGCCCTTTTATCCTTACCACCGACGCGTCAGACTTCGCTGTAGGAGCAGTGCTTTCTCAGGTCTTCCCTTCATCTCCTGATTCCTCTCATCCTCGTATACCTCTCTTCCCACCACCTACCCCTACCACTGCTTCCCGACTGACGCCTACTTGTCCTGCTACTGACGAGCCTTCTATTGACTATACTCCTACCATCGCCGAGGACGGCACTGTCGAGTCTCGCTCAGGTGATTGTCCGATAGCCTTCTACTCCCGTGAGCTCCTGCCCGCTGAGATAAACTACACTGCTGATGAACGTGAGGTTCTCGCAGTAGTTTATGCCGCTCGGCATTGGCGTCACTACCTGCACGGGGCACCATTCACGGTGCGCACGGACAACTCTGTTCTCCAGGCTTTTCTGACAAAGCCGAAGCTCAGTCCTCGACAGGCTCGCTGGTGGCGCGACCTATCCGAGTTTAGTTTCACCACTGAGCACATCAAGGGTGAGACTAATCGGGTCACAGATGCCCTATCCCGACGCCCTGACCACGACCAGGAGCACATCCAGCTCTCTTCCATCTCGGTCACCACCGTCCACCACTCGGTGATCGACGAGTTTCGCACTCAGTACCGCCACTGCCCCGACTATTGCGACATCCACGCGACCCTTCGGAGTGTCAAGACCGTCCCGAACTACTCTCTCGAGGACAACGGTCTTGTGTACGGGCACGGTTCACAGGGCACCAGAGAGCCCCGTATTTGCGTTCCCTCCACTGGACAGCTACGTGTCCGAGCAGTAGCAGAGTTCCATGACCAGGCAGTTGCCGATCATATGGGCTTCCATAAGACGTTGGCTCGTGTGAGCCGCCTGTACGTCTGGCCGAAGCGGAAGGACTTTGTGAAGGACTACGTCGCAGAGTGTCCCACCTGTCAGGAGGTGAACAGTGCGAACCACCTACCTTATGGTTTGCTCCAGCCTCTTCCTATCCCTGAGGGTCGTTGGCAGTCCATCTCGATGGACTTTATCGGTCCTCTTCGACCTCCGACCCCCCGCGGTCATGAT